CATTTAATGCAACTTTCTGTTCTTTTTCTACTATATTTATTAAACAGCTAGAGCTACTTTTAGAAAAATGCACCTATACAAATTAAAACAGTGGACAACTCAAAAGAGTCCAATTATTTAAACATTTTACAAAAAAATCAATCAGAACTTTGTTTGTCTACAACAGTAAGATCCTATACTTGATGCAACAATATTATTTAAAATGGTCATATATAATTATATACGTATCACACATAGAGGCTATCTTCTGCAGAATGACTACTTTGACTTTGTATACTTTAAGTACATGTTGCTGATAATATTTTACTTTAGAAAGATTTTGAATAAAGGACTTTTACTTGTAATGGAGTATATTTTGACAATGCTATATCTGAATACTTCTTCAGCATGCAGATCACACTTTCTAACTCAGATTCCTATACAAAATATATATATCTAGCTTCTGCTTCTCTTCCTAGGGATGAAGAAGAAGCGCTGAACCTCACAGTTAATGCAAACCAAAATCAAAGTCATCATCTTTCTGCTATTATATGTAAGAAGTTAGTGCACTTTATGCAGCTGGTAATCACACATGAATGCACTAGATGGCAGTAGATCGCCAAATTGGCTAGTTAGGCAATTAGCTGAACAGGAGTCATTAAAGCACATGTGTCAAACTCAAGGCCCGGGGGCCAAATCAGGCCCTTGGTGGATTTAATTTCGGCCCGCAAGATAATTTGTAATTACTATTAAATCTGGCCCGCCGATATATTGCACGCACACCTTCACTCAATCCTGAGGGTTTCCTCAGCTCAGAGCCTGACCCCAAACATTGATGAACTTGCACCCAAGATGAGATGCCAAGTATCTGGCTTGAACTAGCATCACAGAGCAGCACACTGAGTTTAATGGATGTTTCCTTCTGCACTTTGTTTCTTGTGACAACAGGGCATGTTTGGTTTGTTCTTTGAGGGAAATGTTTTTTGAAGCTGTGGTTGGCCTGTGGAAAAATGTAATCATAATAAATGACTCTGGAAAAGCTGCAGATAGAGCCATAAGAAATGAATGCAACTGATTATTTAATGTTTAATGTTGTTTTTATAGGCAATAATTTAAGCTTTGTTAGTTCCAGGTTTAATATGTGCAATAAGTTAATTTCAATAAGTTTTGCAATAAAAATTGAACAAGTCCGGCCCTCGACTAGTACCCATTTTTTAATTTTGGCCCACTGTGTATTTGAGTTTGACACCCCTGCTCTAAAGTAATTGAAGAAACACACTTTTTCTTAGCATGCCTTCACTATTGTGTAATTTCTCAGAGTATACTTTCAGAGAATCAGCTAGAGCAACTCAAACCTTTCTACCCTGCACGGCCAGTCGTGTTTATTGTCAGCTTATCATTTGAAACAGTATATAATAACAATCACAGCACGACACAAGCCTTTCCTCATCTTCCTGGCTTGACGTGTCCACAGAAAACCCATCACAACTCTACATGCACCTCATCAGCGGTACTGTGAGGAATATATATATTTGAGAGGTCTTCTTCAAAGAAAATAAAGAATATGTATCCTGTGTTTATCCATCTCCCCTATCCTCAGAAACTGCCAACTCTATGAGGGAAAAGTCAGCGGCCAGTATTATCTGCAAAAAACACAAACAGACAAACAGGCTCTGTTGTTGTTGAATGTAAGGGATTATCAGACCATTTACCACTGCTGCCAATTGCAATTATTATTATTTTATGCATTATTAGGCATTATTGTATATTTATTGCTTATCATCTGTCATAATATGAATCACTTTCCCTACTGTTATAGACATATTGGTTTGTTATAATACATTCATTCATAAAGCTTACAGACATGCAGGCAGATATAACATGAACCTTTTCAAAATACATTGAAAAAAAGTCCACAATTTATGTTTAAAATGGAAATTAAACCAATTTTTGAAATGATTGAGACATTTGTTGTGACAGCTGTCAGCAGAAATTTTTTTATTTTTGCCATTTCAGTGATGGATATTTTCCTTTCCTTTTTGAACATCAGTGCATTTTATTCTGAGGCAGCGACAACACCATTGACCTCCCACTCGGTTTTCTTTCCCTGTTTTCCTCCCATCGCACTGTATTTTGGCAGCAGTTGAAATATCTGTGTGATGTCAGGTTATCTGTGTGATGTCAGGTTATCTGTGTTTGCCCAGCTGTCCATTACAGTCAAACAACAAAATGGGCCCAGAAACACAGGTACAAAGGGAACAGCAATTCAATCAGGAGAGACAGTTTTGATGTAAGAATATATATTTATTGCCAGAAATACTCAATGAATGTAATGGAGTTTTGGCGATTAGGCCCCGTTGTGCGGGAGTATCATTCGGGATGGGAGAACCGATCCGATGAAACCCCCCCGGGGTCTAGACACTGGTGGTGGTGGATGGATAGTTGGGGTCGGTCTGAAGGGGAGTGGCTTAGCTTGACCCTGGATTCAGAGGGACCGGAGGTGAAAAGGGGTGGAGGAGGGTTGCGTCGAGTCACCTGAAATGACAGCTGTCAGAGGGGGGAGAGCAGATTTTAAAGGTTTAGCAGAGCGCTATGATAGTTAGAGCGAAGTGATAGGTTAAGCTGGGGAGTAACCTGATCGCTTATTGAGAGGAGAGAGAGTAGTAAAATAGAAAATAGTAAATGACGAGTAAAGACGGTCTTCATAGTTGAACTTGCGCTGAGCTTCATAAGTCCAAAACATACAGATTCTATCAGAAAAGACTCATGGGTTATTATGGCTATTGAACTGTAATATCAGGATGCTATTATTACATTGAGCAGTGAGGATGCCATGGCGGGGAATGTACACTCGACCCATTGGCATGTACCCCAGTCATGCCACCGTATTACCGGGACGAAACTACAACACTTAATCTAATTAAGGGGATTTTGACTCAATTAGATTAAATGGTCCTAACTGGTGAGCTTTGAAGTCTAAGTGTAGGGTTAATGGACTCCTCTTTTTGGCTCAGATGCCCGACCAGTTCTGGAAGTGTCTGTCTGGCCTGAAGAAAAATCTGTTGTGAGACTTTCTCAGGATAAGTGATTGGCACAGTCTAGTGATAGCCGCAATCAAGAGAAGAAAACTGCATACTGAAAAGAAGATATCAGAGATTGGATCTTTTCATCAAACTGAAGAGTTCATTCGGAGTTGTTTTGAGTAATAGGAAAGATTGGAAGAACAGATTGTTGTTTTCCTTAAAGTTTTGCACATATTACAAAAATAAGTGAAGTTGTTTCTTCCCCCTCCCCTTGTACCCCATCGTCTTCCCACCCTCCCACAAACCGATACATAGACATGTATTTAAACACACGGATGAACAGAAAGAAGAACTGACTGAAGCTAAGATGACAAACAGTTACACAAATGGGCAAATGAAGCGAAGGAGCAAAAGATGGTTGGAAAAAAAGGTGGTGCAGGATAAGTAAAAACTATTGGGGAAAAACAACCTTTATATTATAATAATACTACTAATTATAGTTATCTTAATAATACATCTTTTTTAAACACGGCTTTTGATAATTATTCCTGTAAAGCAACAGACCAAATGTTAGTTTCAATTCAGAATGACTAATACACAGCTTTTCTTTGGATCACATTGGATATATATATTTTTTTAAAAGCTCCATACCTTCATATGTTTATGTGAAATATTTAACATATCTGTATTATTGTCCTAATAGGTTGAACATAGTTTGTCGGAGATTCCTAACCATCACCCCAATGTCTCTGGTGATTTCTTATCAAATCAACCAACATGGCCAATTTCCCTGAGTTAAGTATTCATTATTGTTTGATTGAATTAGTGCTGTAATTATATCTTATCAAATACTCCTAGTTCTAATTTAGTACAAGCTTCTCTTTCTATTTGTGAAAGTTTGAATCTGATATCAATCTAACTCTGCTAATGGAACATTTTGTAACAGGAATCAGCTGATCAAAATGGTGTCCTAACCTCAGTAGGATAATTGTTCTCTCGATATTTCAGTGGCCACAGAGTCTACATGGCAAAGATTCAACATTTAGTAAATTCCTTTTATAACATAACATGATGTCTGCTCAAACAATAGCAGAGTCGAATGGGATTTTGTTTCAAGTTTATAGTTAAAACTTTTGGGATTTGGGCCATTGTGACTGACAGAATGACTGATCGAATGAATAAGGTCAACACAATTGTAAACAGTTTTATTGACCTTATTCAGGCTTGATTAGTTAATAGTACCGGCTCCACTGCAGCCTGGATGTTGAAGTTTGAATTTTGATCAGCTGCGACAACGATGGCTGTTTTTTTACCTTGTGAGTCTGTGTGTCATCTAAGCAAAAATATGGTCTTGGAAAATAACTGAAAAGCCATTATGTGGCCGGCTATGTCTTTATATTATCTGTATGTCTGTCAAAATGTGTAACTGCAATAGCATCACAAAATAGCTGGATGTAGTCAGGACACTTTACAGAGGATAACAAAGGTCCAGATCACAGATGGTTCAATGAGGGGGAACACAGACCTTTGTATAGTTAGGTTCAGACTAAAAGCTAAGTTTGAAGATGTGTGTGGTTAAAGGGGGGAAGGAAGTATGGCCCCACATTTAATCCAAATGTTATTGAAACTGTAATATGGACAAATGCAATGTCCAAAATATGTGAAGATATTGTAAAGGTATTGTGGTGCTGCAGAGAAGTCCTGCCCCACCTGTATTCTGAAGAAAATCACACCGAGATCATTTTATAATATTTTTCAATAATAATGTGAATACTGTTTTAAAAATGACTCTTCTCTCTTATATCACAAACATATCGCAATTGCCATATCAGTCAAACATAATAGAGCCATATTAGGAAGAGGCCAATCTATTGTTCTACTTTGCGTACTCAAATAATGCTCTTTGTATTTAATATTGGACACTGGAACTTCCTATTAAAAATGAAATGACATTACATTTCCAAGAGGCAATTTGCAACATATATGAATCCAGATAAATCGGTTTCAAAGTAAAATATTTTAATGCTATAAACTCAGTAGTTTTAAAATGTCAACATATTGCACTCATTTTTTGTGGCAGTGAATTTGCATACAGAGCATACATGAACAATATTACACAGTTTCATAAGGTTTTATTTCTCAATGCAACAGATGATGTGCATAATAACACACAACAAGGTGTCCGGATATAATATATTATAAAAAATAATGTTTTTTCATCCATCCGGTCCATTATTTCTCTATATTTGGACATTTCAGAGTGTGTTATTGAGCTTATACCAAGGTAGGGAGTGACTGATAACATAGCATGTAGCAAACCTGTTTTCTTATGGTCACCTGTAATTTGTAACACTGTACCTTTTTAGAAAAATATTTATAATGACTGTTAATGTTTAGAGAACTTATGTTAAGGTTGCGCCAATAACATATTTACCAGCCAGTCAATCAGAATTGAAAAAAAATCCATAACCCTACTGGATTTAAAAAGGATAGTATTGTGTGACTTTAACGCTTGAAACAGAAAGATTAAGACTGAAGACATACATCAGAATTGAACATTTAAATGCACAGCCCTTTAGTTTAGCTCATATTACACTGACGGAGCTCACACATGGCGTTCTACTGAAGCCAGTCCCCAACTCCGTGGACTTCCGGCCGGGGACTTCGGGTGGCAGTATACGCCGTGAAGTTGTTTGCGGCCTGCCAGTAAACTCAAAGCAGAAGAAGAAGAAGTGACGTTAGCGGCTTCATTTGCCTAATCCTCCTTCTGGGACTTATTCCGGTGTGAACGCGATCTGCTCTTTAGTTGCTCGCTTCAAAAGTAGAGCAATGTTCTACTTTTGAAGCTTCGACGGAAGCGTCAGCCAATCGAATCATATGCCAGTACAAGCTCTAGCCAATCAAACCGCTGCTTGTGTGTTCGGGGCGGGAGATTCATGTGATTGGTTGTTGGTCGAGCGTCAGACACGCCCGCCGGCAAGCTTCAACGCACGCCGCCGTGTGTAAGCTCCGTGACTGTGACGACCATAGCAGAACCACCACTTTGTATTAAGTTAGAAAATGTTGTATTCAGTGTATCATAAATAGATAACTTACCAGATAATATACTGTACAAAATTAGCTCGTACTTTTGACACCACAAGTCACATACACTGTGTCCAAAGGTTACCTGGTATGCGTTTAAAACATCATCGTCTCATTCAGGATACTTTGGTGTCACTTATTGTCCGTTATTCGAGCTGCAGCATCCATTTCCTGTCCTCAGAGACATGTCCCCTTCAGACCCAATCCGCTTTTTTCTCTACAGTCAATCCCGTCTTCTCTTCGGGGTTATCAGTGGTTGGACGTTTCCTCAGCTCCTCCAGCCTTAGCAGGGACGCACAGTAACGTCCGGGGAACCAACTGCAGTTTGCTTCAGTAGCTTGACATTAGACAGTTCATCAATCCTTCTCCTGCAATGTGAAGCTGAAAATAGACGGACAGAAGACAGGTGAATACCACATATGTATAGACACATTTCAACTCCACTATAAATCAACACATGTTTTGTCCTGTCTTTATTATCTGATTCAACTCAGAAATGCAAAATCTAGAATAGAATCGAATCCTTTATTGTCATTATATAGGTACAATAGGCGCTTTCACACCGGAGTACTTTTCCCAGTATAGTTCCGATATAGTTCCGAAAATGTGCGTTCACACCAAAAAGATCCGGAACTAGAACTTAGTTAATGAGAACCTTTCCACCCCCTTTTCAGTCCCTGCTAGAGAGCAGGTACTTTCATGGGAGAAAAAGGTTCCCATTTCTGATTGGCTGGACGGATTGCAAATCACGCCCCGTAAAACTCCCAAAAAGTTTTGTGAAGCTGCCATTTTATTTGCTGGCATTAGCATTATTAGCATTTGCATTTGCATTAGCCCCGCGCACCAACGCACGGAGAGAGAATAACTTATGGCAACACAAAAGAAAACATGGGAGCGGTGAAGATGAGGAGATGTCGGCGTTCTGGCGATTTACTCGGAAGGCTTCAGTAGAAGCTGCTGGGAGTCCCAGCAGCTTCTACTGAAGCCAGTCCCCAACTCCGGGGACTTCCGGCCGGGGACTTCGGGTGGCAGTATACGCCGTGAAGTTGTTTGCGGCCTGCCAGTAAACCCAAAGCAGAAGAAGAAGAAGTGACGTCAGCGGCTTCATTTGCCTAATCCTCCCTCAGGGACTTATTCCGGTGTGAACGCGATCTGCTCTTTAGTTCATCAGAACTAAAGAGTTCTGATGAACTAAGTACGGCAAAGTACTTGGTGTGAAAGCGCCTCATGAGATGAGTAGAGCTACTCCTTTTTTTAAGGTGCCATCGAAAATACAAAAGACGTACAACATTCAGGAGAAGACAACATACAAACAACCAACATTCATATTTCAATATGCAGATAAAGTTAGAGTGCAGGAATATATCGGTTTGAGTAAAAATTGTATTCTGACTTCGTTATTAAAAAAATATATATATATTGTTATTTGTATTCATCGTATAGATCTTTTTAAATTCTTGTTTGATATTCACAGTCAGGATTGCTTTTTACATTTAGTTGTAGCAGGTGCATTGCCAAGTTTTATATTTTAAATGAGTAACATTAAAACAGTTTGTTACCGGTCAGACTAAATGAAGATAATAAGTCTCTAATTTGATATATGTAGACACAATGAAATCGCCCACAATGCCAACATTCAACAGTGAGAATGTCACTACTTTTATAATAATAATAATAATACATAGGATTTTTATAGCGCTTTTCCTAATGCTCAAAGACGCTTAATGCTTTATACTATTTATATACTATTTTTTTAGCTTCATTGATAAAAAGCACCTGATGCCAAGGTTATCACATTATTACCTCAACTTATGACTTAGCGTGCAGTTGTGATCCCATAAACAAATTCCTTTTTTTCTGTGTATGACTCTTTGTCTCGATCTGATCATACCCTGAACAGCATTCCAGTTTCTATCAGATAAGAAAGGTCACATTTTATTCCCTTTTATTTACTTGTTAATTACATAAAGCCATTGCAAGGCCGCCCTCATCATTTTTCTGTTTTGTGAAACTCCCTAGCAAGACAGGAATTCTGATGCTATCACCTCCACTGCATGTCTTCACAGGAAGACATAAACTACCCAGAACTTCACAGAAATGTGACTGCATACAGGAAGAAAAAAACATACGCAGGATACAGTTAACAGTATGCGTTCATCAGATCCCTATAGTGTTATGGAAAATAACTCTTTGTACAATATGTCAAGAATAATCAGTGTAGTCTGTGGTATGTTTCAGTGATTTTAAGTGAAGGAATGATATTATGTTACACATTCTTTCAAATCTCACATTCACACATAAGGTTTTGGATCATTTGTAAATCACGCACAGACATAGCTCTCGCATATTTAGGAGTATGCAATCAAGATAAATAAGCTGAACAAAGAAATAAATCCGTCATCTGTGACAAGTGTATTTTGTGTCTTTCAGTAGGGCTGTCCAAGGGGGGAAGCATTAAGAAATGATGATTATCATTTTTGAATACAAGTTGATTACATTTGAATAATACTGGCAACAGCTCTATAATGCAATGCAATTCAGAAGCACCACCTCTGAAATGATGAAGAGGTATTTTGTCATTAAAATGCATTTGGTTTAGCTCCAGGAGGTGTAACAAACTGGCACAAGAGTGTAAAAGTGTGTAGTGACAAAATTGCTTTGCACATTATTATTCCTATACAAAGTATTGAGTTCATTTGCTGTAGATACAGCAAAAAAACAATCCAGTTAGGGTTTTATTGCTTCTTTTATCTGTTCAAGCCTTAAAACGTTATAGTCATACTGTTCTTAAGTGTTTGCCTTGTTCCCGGATGCTTCCATTTACTGTAAAAAGTGCACCGCAGTAAGATCTGATATCAGCCGGCTGGAAAGCGAGTGTTGGAGGTTTACCGCAGATTCCTACCATCATGTTTAGCTTTTTCCTGATCCTTATTTCATGCTCTCTTAGGCCTGATCTCCCTTTAAGCTAACCTTATGTACATTATGGAAGTTGGTGTGTGAGGTCAGAGGCACCAGCATTATCACACTGCGGAGAGCAGCTCAGAATTACAGGGTTCACAACACAGGAAAAAAAAACAATGCACATTGATGAACACTTTAAACAAATAATGTTTCAAATGTAAATATGCCGGATTTTAGCTTTGAGCTCATTTCCATCCGTAGTCCCTCACATACAACATTTAAGAACATGACATTTATATACATAGCAAGAATAAATACATGATATGCAGAACATGAAAACATCAGGATGCTCTGACGTGCTTCACTTATTATCCTGGTGTTCGGGCCGTTTTAAATCACACAGGGCTTTAACCTGCCACACAATAGCAGCTTGTTGAAAAGCAGTGGTAGAAAGAAACTAAGTACATATACTTAAGTATTGTATTTAAGCACTCATTGAGATACTTCACTTTTTGTGTCACTTCATACTTCAACTGCATGACAATTTGGAGTGAAATATACTGACTTATTAATCTCTAGATATATTTATGCTTTTTGGGGCTTTTCCCCTCCTTTAACACTCTACCCCTCCATGTAAGGTCGGCCCAGACCCTAGGGTTTTTTAAATCTACACTTAAGACTCACTTCTTCTCTCTGGCCTTTTAGTCAGAGCGGAGCGCGACTCCTGACATTTCCCTGTGTGTGATTTTTATTTTTGCTGTTGTAATTTATTGTCTTCTGTTTGCTATTGTAGTAAAGAGTTTTTATTGCATGTACAGCACTTTGGCTCGACCAAAAATCGTTTTTAAAAAATGTGCTATATAAATAAAACTTGATTTGATTTGATTTAGTGGGTTGTTGTACATATAAATACTCTGTAAAGGCTAAAATCCCAAAGTTCCTTGGCCTCGCCTGAAACACCTCTATTGGACTCCTTTGTTTGCTTCCGTAAAATAATGACATCACTATGTAACACTCGAGCTTCTATTGGCTAGCTCTCCAACACATTGTACACAGGCGAAGGGGCGGGAGTCAAGCAGTTGAGACGGACAGCTAACCAATCAGAGCAGACTGGGCTCTGGTTTCAGACAGAGGGTGAAAAGAGGTGCTGCAGCACAGGAAGTATGAGAAAAATAAAGAGCTTTTTGAACATTAAAGCATGGAGACATGTCACAGTATAGAGACACTACATACTGATATGAACCTGAAATGAGCATTAAAGTGATAACAATAATTAACAATATTAGCTACTGGGTACATGTTCATGTTAATCATGCAAAAATGTAACACTACTATGCAGTAAGATACCTGAGAGTATAACAAGCATTAAAGTTATCTACACCTTTACCAGCTGCATAATGAAATTGCGTTAAAATAAATGGATCTCAAGTGAAATAATTCAGTAATGTAAAATACATCCGAAAACGACTACTCTGCATAATGAGTACTCTTAGTTTTGGTACTTCAGGTATATTCAGGCTAATACTTTTGTACTTTTACTAAAGTCACAATGTGCCAGAACTTTGACTTGTAGTAGAGTATTTCTACACTGTAGTATTATTACTTTTACTTAAGCAACACATGTGAGTATTTCTACCAGCACTGCTTGTCAATCACAGCTCTGTATCAAATGTCCAAATTCCTGTTTAACACATTGCCCTCACAGTACATGGCACATTACAGATACAGTAACTTAAGTTATTAAATGTTCTGCATATAATCTCACACTGCACTAATATAGTATCCACTATTAAAGCAAAGGCACTCTGGGAGGACTCAGCATGCTGTGGGTAATACAATTATATCTAGATACTGTATTTAGCTGCTATGCGGATACAGTTTGTTCCACTTATGCCAACAAAATGTCCTTTGATATTTGTCCTTATAATATATTTCTGAAATAGTAACACAATCATTTTGTGTATACTGGAAATTACATCCTCCTCCTCCATCTCTCTTCCCTTTGTGTAATGTTATTGGTTTATAAAATGTATTTTCACTGCTTGTTGTGACCCATCAGCTGTTGCTTTAAAGATAAATCTGACCGGATCATCCTCAGTGATTTTTTATCCCTGTGCCATCACTTTCTGCTTTTCATATAAGATATGTTGTTGTGCATTTGATGGCCATAAAAGCCATAATGTTCGTCCACATTATTGTTTTTTTTTATAAAATGTGACAATTTACTTCCTCTCACTAGTTAGTTCCTAAGTATGATGTCACAGCATAGCTGGCACGCGTGTTTCCTGAGCACAAGTTGTAATATTCATATTGCTCCATGCTCTCCCGTGCCTGGCTCCTGTGTAAAGAAATATGCATTCTTGGTTTAAACCCGTCTCTTCATTCTTTGAAATAAAATATTCCACTCTCTGTTAGCTTAATTTGAGTGTCCTTAATCATGGATAAACTGTCCTAAAAAACATCCTCTGCTCGTAACGCACAGAAATGCTTTTCCAATAAAAATAAAAATCTTGTCTTCAATGACTCTAATACACATATTAGGAGTAATGCAGGAGCTGCCTTTTTCACTTTAGAGCAAAATGACAAAAACAGAGTAAGATGCGGTTTAAGGAATTTAATCTGTGAAAAAAGTCATGCAGGCTGCACAACTTCAAACACTTGTTTCCACTTTGAGAAATGCCGTTATGCAGGGGTTCTGTGAAAAATGGTACTTGTCATATGCATACTGTACGTGACAGAAGCTGCAGGCTGCTGTGTATGTTGATAAGGGCCACGATGATATGCCTCCATGTATTTCTATGAAAACAAAGTCACTGGTGATAATGGCAGGCAGACACTTTTCCCTGGTAACCAGTCATGTTATGTGTTGCCTCACTCTTTATCAACCCTCGGCTAATGAGATAAATAAACCTGCATGTTCTCGCAGGGTTTAAAATGTGCTGCTCCATTGCTCCTTTATGTTGCTGGATACACAAATCTTGAAGGTTGACAGGGATAACTGGGGCCTTTTGTCACTCAATAACTACGCACTAAAGCACTCCTGACTTTACCTGGAAACATGTGTCATATATTTCTCTGATAAAATCTGTGTTTGAGCCTCAACCCCGCCACAGTCATTTTCAAGCGGCTGGTCTCACTTAAGTTTGTAATCCTGTTCAAAGCGCAGGGTGAGTCCGCTGAGCTTTCCCCTTGGGGTGAGTTACATATCACACAAAGCTCCTTTTAAGGAAGACTTTCATATCAAATATCTCCCGTTTTTACAGCCTCATTGATTATGTGTGTAAAATTCCAGTAAGAGGATGCCGTTTAAAGAGAAGAGAGGAATGATATGTATCAAGTGCTGGGTAAATATTTAAACTCAGATATCCCGCTGTCGTAAAACTGGATAACTCGTGGGAATTCAGATGGCAAGGCGAGGGCTGCAGTTTAAGAGCTGTGCCACTTGTCAAATTAAATGAATCATGAGTTGAGAATTTGGGGGGGCAGGAGCTCCAACAAGCCGTTTAGGACAGAGAGTGAATACACATACTATACAGAGATGCTGTATGAGAAACCAATGTGAGTTTGGAAAATTGCACAATATACATTTATTTTAGTATACCTCCACAATGGAATTATGATCAGTAGAAATGGCCATGTCATGGGACCTTTAATATATATATAATTGAATGTAGATCATATCTGAATAAATGTTTAGTTATTATGATAAGTTATTACATTTTCTTTTAATAAAGTTAATAAAAGAGCACAAAATCCACTAATAAAAACAATATTCTAAATGTTATGTAAATGCCACAAATGTATACTCATAGATAGATTTACTTAAAGTAAATGCCAGCCTATCTATGAGGTAGGGTAGGTAAGAATGGAGCAACCAGCTCGAGTGCGCTAGAATTTGAAACGACGCAGCCGAAAAAAATCTGCCCCTTCCTTACAGAGCCCCTCCTCCAACACACACGAACGCGCACATGACCAATGAGGGCACGAGATAAGTTTGTGCACAGATGGAAGGCTGACAGGCAGGTAGGCCATCCAGTTATTTTAGCCGGGCCGGCTCAGATGATTGGACGTTCTTTTTACAGCGTCATGGCTTCCACAGATGACATTTTGTATGTATTTATTGTCAAAGCATTTAATGTATTCATTGCTATTGGGATGTTAAGAGCATTCCATGGAATATAACAAAAAGTGTTTCTGAAGTGAATTACCTACCCTACCTTTAATAGATACAACTTTTTAAAAAGCTTGTATATGTCAAGACTTTCCAGCAAAGCTCCTAATTACTATTATTACGTATAATTGTGTATTCAATGGAAAGCCCTGTGTCAACTTATATTGCACCAACCCTACTTAACCTGTGTTAACAAGGCGTTGTCATTGGCTGGGATTCTTGTAAACGGTCTCTTGAGGGAAGTCTTGTGTGTGAGTGATAAAGATTTATCTGCTGCAGGGGGTGTTGGGCGGGCCCACTGAGGCCCTCCGATAATGATTTACAGAAGGGTTTTTTTCCTAGAAACTACACATGTAATAATTATATTGCTTCCTGAAACCAACCCAAACACACTACCAATGATTTTATAACTGCATAACATCAGATGGATTCATAGATGGATGAAAGGTATCCAAGAGCAGGTTAATACCTCAGATGATTATTTATACTTGCATTAATAATTCAAGATATGAAATGTCCCTTTTAGTTTTGTAGTATTGTAACACCAGACGCCAACTCTTCAGAAATGTTTTTTGTCTCTGTTCTGCTCCACTGCAAATTATTTAATTGTATGCATTAGATCAGGGGTTTTCAAAGAGTGGGAAGGTGAGCCTCCCCTCAGAGAACATAAGAACAGCCGCGCCCCCCCTCCCAATTATTATTGCTATTATTATTATTGTTGTTGTTGCTATAATGCAGGGGTATTCAATTGCATTTCAAAGAGGTCCAGTAAGAGAAAATGTCATTACATGCTCTGCAGTCAGTGCTGACTCACTGACTGCACCGATTTGATTGGCTGAGTAGCGTCACCTCCTTAAAACATTAAACAACATTTTTTTAAAACCTTTTTATCTTTATGTTTTAAACGTTTTTTTTAAACATTTTTAACATTTTCAACATCGTGGATAAATCCTTATATGCTCCCGGCAACACACTGAACGTCAACTTTGCCTCCTTATTACACTCACCCCTACTTTAGTGGGAACAATGAGTCTGCGTCTTTGATGCGCACAGGCGGATGATGCGGGGATGCAATGTAGACAGGAATAAACGCAGGTCACCCTCTGGCTGCAGCCTTGACCGGTACTTGCTTTTGATCAAAGTAAGTATTATTACAATTTAAATAAAAGGCGGTGCCGGCCGTCAGCGAACCGAGCCGGCCGCCAACAGCCCGCTGAAGACCGGCTGTTCTGTGATTCTCCAGAACACACAGATGGCCAGTCCGCCCCTGCCAGGACCGGTCCATGAAAATCCTAGCTTCAAATAATCGTGGTCATACTTCCTCCGTTTTCTGCCAGACGCTGTCTCCTCGCTCACTTCAGGTAACTTCACAAAGAAACGATCCATGTTGCCGCTCGCATAAAGTTAGCTGAAGTTAACTAGCTAGATTTCACTGTTTCTCTGTTTTTTTTCTCACGCTGCGCCTCCCCTGAAGCTCTGGCGCCCCCCCGCTGGATTAGAATATATCAGAATATAGATTTATGCTCAAATGCAAAGTGGTTATAAAGAATATCCAGATTTGTATCTACAGTGATTGGACCGTTTTCACTTCTAAGATGCTAAGTTAATAGAGTGCCACAGTGACGCGTCCTAAAACCCGGAAGTAAACTCCTTCCGGTTCCTTCGACAAAAAAGCAATTTCTCCATAGGATTTAGGAAAATAGCTGGAAATAAGGTCTGTGGTTGAGACACATTTAAGAGACGGGTCACGTCCGGATAATCTCCACATGTCTACCCTACTTTTATGATTAATTTCGAATCATAAATCTAGTCGCCAGAAGCAAAATGCTAACGTTATGCTATAAACGAACTACAGCAGGGTCGCTGCTTCAACGTCACGCCAACTTAAGATCCATATTAAAAAATACAGATTCAAAATTGTACAAGTTGAAGCGTTTGTTTGAACAGTTTGCAGGAGGCAGGTACTTGCTTTCAAGCAGAACACGGCAAACAAACTTAGAGGAGTGTTTTACGTGTTCGGTGTAATGACGTACAACGGCCTCGACAACTTCTGTAGTCCTATTCAGCCACTTGTTAACAACCATCGTTTTTCAGACACGTACTGTAAACTCTTAAAAAATCACCAGTGGGGTCACTGCTGATGTATTTAATGTCGTAGAACAAAACGTGATCCGTCTCTTAAATGTGTCTCAAACACAGACCTTATTTCGGGCTATTTTCCCAAATCCTATGGAGAAATTGCATTGCTTTTTGGCGAAGGAACCGGAAGTGGTAAAATGCTAACTTACTTCCGGGTTTTAGGACGCGTCACTGTGGCACTCTATGACATCGGTGGTAATACTTCACATAACGATAAGATAAATACAGTGAACATTAAGGGGATGAGTTGATATATACAGTAGTGGTCAACCTTAACAAGCCAATAATGGATAATCATTTCGTAAAAGGACAAATGTATTGATAATTAATGAACACGTAAATGTTACCTCTTCTTGAAATTTGTTGGAAATTTAAAATTTCCCTGATTTTCTTTTTTTTATACAGATTTTGTTGTAGTTATTCATGACATATCACTTTCCTTGATCCTATTTGCTTGTTAATATTGTGTTGGCAGTAGTTCTCATCAAACTGAAACAAGCACACGATCAGACATGTTTTGGCTAATCTGCAACATGATGTCCGGAAGCAAAAAGTAATGGAAATTGTTTAATTCTTCATGACACTGATTCTGTTAGTCTTTACATTTCTGCTTCACAGTGCAAATGATCTGCTCACATGACACATAGTAAACCACTGATGTAAGACTTAACACCTTAAATCAGAGTGTAAAAAAGGAAAGAAGAAAGGCAACTAAGGAAAAAGTTTAAACCCAGTGTTCACATTCAGACTCTCTGAATCACCCCACTGTCCTTGAAATAATTAAGGTTTGATCGAAGGTCTATTAGTTACTCTCAAGTAAGACGTACTGAGATTTCAAAATGTAGTATCGTTTATACGTTTAAATATATTTAATTGAATTATCCTATTACTTTAATATAACACAAATCTAAAATGTTAAAAAACTGAGTTTGAATTTGCATGCCAATGTTGCATTTATCATGATTTTGCATTTGTCATTGTCTATGATGTCCGTCTGTGCATAAGCTGTCAAAATGATTCACTTAATTCTCTCTAAAATATGATTATGGAGATTTTACCCGAGCAAGTATGTAGTTTGTTGAAAATTGACATTTTTGAAACATTCCTCATACTTAAAAATAGGTGACTGCAGGTAAAATAAGACAAGAAAAAGGGTACTTACAATGTGGTTTCTGGTTCTGATAATTCGCTGAACTGTGTGCTGCCATTGGAGCGCAGAGGACCAGGGGAAGCCTTGTCACTTTTGCTGCTTCCAATACTGCTGCCCAGACTCTCACAGCCATCGCTCTTACTCTTCGGAGACTTCTGGAAATAGCTGGCTGTGCCCGCCTCAGCCTGCCATAGGAAGCAGGAGCAGCGAGTCCTCAGCTCTTTATAAAAACTATTTGGCCGCAGGGTGGACAGCAGCCACGGACATCCCAGCAGGTTCTTGAACGCGGTGCGAAACTCCGGACTCCTGCAGTAGATGATAGGATTGAGGCCAGAGTTGATGTAACCCAGCCAGTTTAACAGTCTGAAGATCTTCTCTGAGGGAATATCTCTTTTAAATGCGTTGATGATGTTGGCCACAAAGAACGGCAGCCAGCACACAGTGAAGGTCCCCATGATGATCCCTAAGGTCTTCAGGGCCTTGTGCTCTTTGGCGAGCATCATCCGTGAAGGCCGCCGCTTGGCGCTCTTTCTTTGCAAGGTGCTCGGGGCTGGACACGCGTTTGGCAGGATATTGTTGATGTAGGGGCTAACCTGCACTGTTAGACAATCATTCTGGAAACGCAGGCGATTCTTATCTATGAGCTGAACCTGCCGTGTGGCTATTAGAAAAACTTTTGCATAAACAAATATCATTATGAGCAGTGGAATATAAAAAGACACGATAGAAGATATAATAGCAAAGGCCCTATTGGTCACAAAGTCACAGCATGTAGTTGTCTTGTAGCACTTTACTGCCTCCTCGTCATCATCTTTCCAAAACCCGTTCATAATCGGTACAAAGGAAATTAAAGCGGACACTAGCCACACTAGGCAAACAATTACCCTGGCACGCCACTTATTGAGGAGAACTTTGTGCCTGAGAGGCCTCGTGATGGCTATATATCGATCCACTGCTATGATGCAGAGCGTCTCGATGCTCGCCGTCACACACAGGACGTCCACAGAGGTCCAGAACTCACAGAACGTGTCACTGAGCTGCCAGTTTCCCGTCACCACTATAGTGCCCCCCAGAGGCACTACGAGGACCCCCATGATGAGGTCAGCACACGCCAGGGACATAATGAAAATGTTTGTGGTCGTCTGTAGCTGTGAAGTACGAGCAACAGCGATGATCACCAGCAGGTTTCCTACCACTATGGTCAGTATGATGATGACCAGAACAATGAGGCTCCAGGGGCCCGCCGCATCGTGGTACGTATCAGTTCTGTTGAGCACATAGGAGGCAAGAGTGCTCAAGTTGCCATCCATTATAATAAGCTACAGGTTGTTTTTCTCACGTTAACAAAACTGAAAAATCTGCTTTCCTTACAAGCATCATAAATCTGCTCACTAGATAATAGTTATTCTTGACTTTGCAGTTGCTGCTTACATTTCACAGCTGCTGTTTGGCTGTGTTCAAAAGGCAGTAGTGGCTTTCCATGTTTCCCGATGTGATGACCAAGATTGGTTTTTTAGTGCAAGTTCTTCTGGTGCGGGCAACCAAAGCATGTTCTCTAAAAAAGATGTTTCCACAAGTGTCCACAAAGCTGAAACAATATTAGTTCAAGAAGTGACAGCACTTTCACGAATCCGGGAAGCGTTAACATAAAGCAAAAAAAGACTTTCAGAAGTAAAGTATCCGGACGTGTCCATTTAGATAAATCCACTGGGACTTGAGGAGTTTGCTGTGTTTTCGCTGAAGCTTGCAGGAGCTACAATGCCACAGTTGGACTGTTGGAGACCAAGCAACAGTGACGCCGTTGGAAGAACCACCAGAGTGCACCAGAGTGGCTACCCACTCTTTATTTTGCTATCTCTCTCTCTCTCTCTCTCTCTCTCTCTCTCTCTCTCTCTCTCTCTCTCTCTCTCTCTCTCTCTCTCTCTCTCTCTCTCGCTCTCTCTAGCTCTCTCTTGCACACACACACACACACACACACACACACACACACACACACACACACACACACACACACACACACACACACACACACACACACACACACACACACACTCTCTCTCTCACTGCAGGTTGGCCAAGATTGTATTGGCTCTAATCACACCCTGACTGAAGGGAGAGGGGAGGAGTCGAAAAGTGTGTCTGTGCGCTAAAGCCCCATAAAGGGATCACTACCCTAATAGAGTCACACACACATATGCAAACAATCACACACATACTTTGTAACCTATATACCCATATAAACACGTGAAAAATAACTACTCCTGCATCAGAGAGTGTTAAAACCCCAACAAGATGTTTTGGCATTCACAGTGTTAACTGGAAAGAGTAAAAGTATGTGATGACCATCCAGTCCTTATTCTTTAATGTCACTGAGGTTGTGTTGAATGTAGCAGCTCCACTAAGCTTGTTAACTCATTAACTGTATCTGTCACTTGAATGTGTCAACACTGAAAGGCTTTCCACTGCTGGCTTCTATTCTGATTGTCGAATGACGCTGGATTATGTCAAACACACACTTCCAAGGCTCAACAACATGTGTCGTCAGACATTTGGGCACAAGCTTTGCAGTAAAAATTAGATTATGAGACTGTTTTATTACGTTTATCTTTCTTTTTCGTCACTTTCTTCTTCATCTTCACTTCATATCTAAAAGTCTCAAAAGGTTTATTTGTAAAAGAGTTTGTTGTTGCAGACCACAGAGCACGAGGCACCCAACTCCAAAGAACAGGAATTAAATGCCCTCCATTTGACTCAAGTAATAAAAGAAAATAATAGATGGCTATCACGGTGTTACTCGAGCCAGTGCACTGGAGAAGAACAATCAGGCAAATGCCTTTCATGCGATTCAGCTCAGATACCCAGCGCTCTGCTGCAATGCTGAGCTCTCTTGTCACCCAGCAGTTCCTTCTTTGGTCCGATCATCTGTACAACGGCAGCTGTGATTGCTCTGCGTTTGTTCCCAACTCTCACATTACTTCTACTCAATGAGAAGATAAACAAGGGAATACCTTTCATACATTTCTACATACCTTTCAGGATGTGCACGCTGAATAAGGAATCATCAAGTCATATATATATAGAATTCTTTATTAGTGGTGATGAACCTACAGATCACAAATGTTCAGCTCAACGTGGTCTTATGGAGCTTTAATTATTGTATTTTTTGTGTTTCTACTCATAATTTAGCTATCCAGTCCACAGGTTTACAGTTTTCTGTTCCATTTTGACGTTAGGAATCTTTTTCTTTAGACTTAAAAAGTGAAAAACCTTTAAAAAAGAACAGTACACTACATGCTCAATACTAAAAGGCAGACAGACATAGATAGTAACTAACTGGTAACATGCATGTGTAACTTGTTAACAGCATATCAAACTGAATCCCAATGGTTCACCAAATTTACCAGCATGGTATTCTTAGTTAATCACAAAAGTGTCTCTGAGAGGAATTTGAATCATGATTTTAGCTGGCTAAGTTAAAAACACCTGTTGACCCTTAAGTATAGCATCTGCCACATTTTATAGGCAACATTTTGTCAATAACACTTTCTTTCTGAGAGGTAGAAGAGGCTATTTACAGTATAGCATTATCTGTCCGTTTAATATTAAATTACAGCTAAGAGATGGTTAGTTTTGCTAGCCTGTATCAGCTAGCCTGGCTGTCTGAGGCTAATAAAACAAAGAAGATATTGCTCATTTGTGAATTTAAGAGACAGCTTGATTTGTTACCTTAGGAAACCCCAGGCTAGTCGTTTATAGTCTTTATGTTGAGCTAATGAGCTAACGTGCTGCTGGCTTCCTTTTGAACATTTGTTTGCGATTGGTACTTTAGATGTAACGTCATAGTGGGGTTGATAAATGTATTGTGAGACACACTGAACATTTAACAGACTATCCACAGACTTACATCATTGCACTGGATGTTTTATGTCTGAAGGAGGTAGAAAGCTGTCCGCATCTGTACTTATTTGTTGCCAATAAAAGTCACTCCTTAAACAAACGGTCTTGAGAAAGAACCTAATAGATTTGTTATGAAATTGCATTGTTGCATGCTTTTCTTTGCCAACATATACATACGCGCTTCCTTTTTACAGTGTGTTCCATTCCCTGTAGGTTTAAATGTTTTCTTTTTTTTTTGTCTGGGTCACTTTGTCACTCATCGGACAGGATGCTGTGTAATTACAAGTGCATTCACAAAAGGGAAAAGCGGGCAAAAGCAAAGCACTGGCGCCTTTTTAAACCTGATGACCAACAGTCCACATCTGAGAGCATTTCTGTAGATGAAGGTCACTATACTGTGGAGCTGACAGCTTGATTGATGCGTGTTTGTCTTTGCGTGAGAAGATATCATTGGTGGACCTAGACATGTTTGTGGTATAGTCAAGCATGTCAGCTGACATAAGAAGAGTTGTTGATAGTGGAACCAGCCTTACCCTTAATGAGAGAGATCTGTGAGGATTACATTACCCTACAGTGCATGCAGTCATTAACCATTTCATAGCAAGTCATTTGTAAGAATAACTGTCTACATTTAAGTTAATAACTATTCTTAAATAAGATTGTAGGTCGATGTGTGAAGTGTAATCGGTTTAATCATGTTCAAAATACTTCAGATTAACAAATTAATTGAAATGTTTGCAACACCGTTACCTGTTTCTTGCTTTGTGTGACATGAGTTGTATCTCTGGGTATATATATGACAGCAACTGCATACTTCCTTGAGAAAATAATCTGATAACCAGTGTGTAGAACAGCCCAGGATTTGCTCAGTACTCATGATAGCAGGCTGTAAATCATCAGGGCAGACTAAAGGCTGTAGAAAGCCTGTTTATTACACACTCACTCCCCACATATACTGCACCCTGGGAATGTTTCCTTCCTCTCCATGGAAACCTAAAAGGCGATATGTTCCAATCAGCCAGTATTCAAAAAACCTCCTGGTATTTCTCTGTCAAGACTTACAGCTTATAGGGAAGGCCTGATCCCTGGCAGCCATCTGGGTTTTACAAGCTTGCATTTCAATTCACAACGCAATCCATCTGGTCAGTGCCAACACTCACATGCTTGGAAAAGTCCACACAGTCACTCTCCCACTCACTGCCAATGGAGAAAGCCCATGGGTGTAAATCATGCCAACATCCGTTTGCTCATATTCAGTAAGGCTGTCAGTCAGTTGTTGTGGATTTGGAAATTGAGTGGCTCCTCAAGATGTTTTTAAAATCTGCCGACCATAGCTTTTTCAGAAGGAGACAAGAGAGACTTTAAATGTCTTCGTCCTGACGTTTGAAGACGTTTAATTTCCTCATCATCTCTAAACTAGAGTAACAGTGTCAGCGGTATGAGTGCAAACACGCCATACAAACGGGGTCAAGCTATTATATTTACAAAAAGGTTCCACTTTATATCTGACTACACAATCAGTTTCAGGTTCATGATCCTACATGTTTATGGACGTTGATGGAAACCCAAATGAAATCCCATTTTGGTTTCTAGACCAAATCTTCACTGCAGTTTGGATTCGCCTGGCTTTCCTGAGCATCACTTTTACCTCTTGTGAGTTTTCAGGTTGTTTTTTTTGTCTTCTCCACACATTAGGTGGAACAGATGATCAAGACCTTAGGGATCAAGTGGATGCAAATGCAAAACATAACTTGAGACCCCCGATGGGAATAATGGATCTACTTTATATGAAAGATATACATGTAATATAATAATGCGTACATCACGGAAATTAGATTTGGTTATAGAACATTTTATCCTCATGAATGCATCCTGTGGGGCTCAAAGCCCTGAAGCAAATCCCCCGCCAGCAGATCTATAGCATGAGATCATGTGCTGAGGTGAGAGAGGTGAATGGTGCAGAGGCCGAGCTGTTAGGCCTTCGTCCACTATCATATCGTGGGTAAATCACACACATTAAGCTCTGAGTGGAACCACATGCTGGGATTGAATGGAGTCTCTTCTGGGGCAGTATGGGGAAAACTGAGGCAACAATGTCCAAACACTCAGGGGAAACATCTGATACCAAGATGAGCCTATTTTTGGAGGCATCTTGTTTGTTTCTTGCTGGAAACCCCTTCTGAATGAATGAATGCAGAAGCTTTTTGATTAACTCCTGTTCGTACCATAATTGGACATTTCGTTACTCCGTAGGGACAGCGGCACCAATCATTTTTTAAAAGCACAAATGTCTCCTGCTTCTCTTTGTATTTGCCTTTGTGATAATATTGAATTGCAACATTTACGTCCACCTCATCATCAAAATGCATATTTGACACCGTCATTGATGCTCAGTTGATCTCATGGTTTGACAATCACAGGAAATAGGCGTTTTTAAAATGTTTGGTGGTAAGTGATGATAAGAATATTCTCACCCCCTTTTTATATCGGTCAAGTAAAAATGGAAATTAAGTGAAATGGAAACTGCTTAAAGAGATCGGACAATCAAAGGAAACCACAGAAGGTTACTTTTTCAAGCCAAGAAATAATCTGGCTAAAAAAGTAAGTTGTCATTTCTTCAAATCGAACCAGAGGTAATGGTAGGCATATTGTGTTACCTTTGGACACAGTCAGGCTATCTGTCTCAATTTCCAGTAATAATACTAAACTAATCTGTAGCCTTATTCTTAGACAAATATAAAAAAGGCATACGCATTTCTCCAACAAATGTACTGTGAATTATAATATGACAAGTAGACACATTACCTAATGGAAAAAACTATAGTTATAAGCAGGGCCGTCCCTGGCCAACTTGGGGCCCCAAGCGACATTGTGAGATGAGGCCCCCCCCCCCAACCGACAGGAGTGAAACAAATTTTTTTGGAAACAAAGTACTTTGCAAATAT